CGCCCCGCCGCCCTTCGGCCCGCTGGTCCTCGCTCCCCGCCGCCGCCCACTTCCGGCCGGGGAGGCTCCAGTCCGTTACTCGGTGCCGGCCGGGCTATCGGCGCATGCGTGGCCCGCTCCGGCGCCGTCTAGGGGCGCAGCCTGGAGAGTCCCAGCAAGCGGCCGGGGCCGGAGGCTGAGCCATGTCCCGCTACCCCGGGGCGCCAGGATGCCGGGCCGTGTCGTTGCCTTTGCCTGGGTAGGTCGGCGACTCGGACCTCGTGTTCGCGACATGGCGGAGGCCGAACTTAGGGCTGACTGGGGATCCAAAATCTAGAGGTGAAGTCAGAAACTGCCCGGGTATTATCCACCTTTCACGTAGGAGGAGGAAACCTCATGGAGCTATCAAATTGTATGGCATATTAGAATCACGCGAGTGAGCTTTTTAACAGGCCCAGGGCATCCCACTTACCCAGGACAATATGGGGCGGGGGCATAAGACTTGGCCTCAGTCATACAAGTGGACCTCAAAAAGTTCATGAAAAATACATGAAGAAAAAAGTAAGCATTTGGGGGGAAAAAATCACCCAAGTAAGCTAGTACTTAATTCCCCTTTTCTTCAGAATAGAGTTCCCTTCTAGTTTGACAACATGAGGTGACTCCAGTGTGCAGTCAAGTTGGAAGCCTGTGAATTACGAGCGATTCTGAAGCTTCAGCTACTTGTTGGTTAAATCAAAATGCTGGGCCTCACCTCCCTGTGTTTCCAATTAAGGTCAGATGTGGGTCCCAAGAATCTATTTCAATTCTAGCAAATTCCCAGCTGTGGCTAGCATGGTTGACAGGGAACCACGCTTTTAACCTTTTGACTCAGTGTGGTTCATCAAAGCATCACCTTTGAACTCATTAAAGGCAGACTCTCAGGCCCTCCCAGATGCTCCAGCGTGGCAAGAACCTCGGGTGATTTCTGTACACGTGAAAGTTTGAGCCAAACTACTTTAGAGAATTACAGGTGATGGTGCACCTGTAAAAGCCCCAGTGGGCCAGCAGTTGTTAAGGCTCTGCACTCCCACGTGGATGACTGCAGTTTTAGTCCCAGACCTCGTGGCTTGGAACATGCCAGGCACTTGAGCCTATGTGCCCAAAATCCTAAGAGGAGAATGGAGAAGGGATTGGGGCATGGCCACCCCACCCCTCCACACGCAGGGGATGATTTCTCGCTTTCTCTAGCAAGTGCAGGCTTCTTATGGTAAAAATAAACAAACAAAAGTGCCAAAGTGCCAATAAGCAATTTTAGAGTAAAATACAAGGGGACTTCGAAAAATTATGGGAAAAATGGAATTAAAGCATAGATGTGTTTGGTACAAAATTTTTTGAAATCTATGGATATTTTTCTTTATAATATGCATGTCCATGAACTTTTTGAAGACACCCTCATGCATGGTAAAGAAAAGCTGCAGTTGTGAAATAGAGCAGGGGAGACACGGTCCACTATATTTTCTCCCCTGCCACTCCCTTGTCCTATCGGGAAACGTGATGTTGTGGAAACATGGTCATTCCTTTATTCATCTCCTGTCCTATGCTTAGCATACACCCTTAGAAAACCCTGCTCTAGACATTCTACTTAGGTCTCACTCTGAAGTTCTTCTTTCATTTCCTGCTTTCTCCTATTCGGTATGATCTCTCTCTCTCCTTAAATCCTCATAAGCTCTTTTTTTTAACTGTCATATAGCAGTTGCCTTAGTTCATTATTGAGTTGCTTTTAGAAATATCGGAGACTGGTGATTTACAAAGAAATAGGCGTCTATTTGACTCACAATTCTGGTGACTGGGAGGTCCAAAGGCACGAGGCTGGCATCAGGACACCTACAACATGGCAGGCAGGGGAAGAGGGTGGCACCTGCAGAGAACCGTGGTCTATGTTCCATGTCTATCTCTCTCTCTGTCCTTACTTCTTTTCTTAATAAACTCACCAAGACTCAGTCTGGGTCCCCTGGTTTTAATCATCCAATCACTGATCTTTTCCTCAAAGCCCCACCTTTTGCCAAAATAAATGGATCAGATTTTTTTTATATATATATTCAACTTTATTTTAATTCAACCAGAGAAGGACAGGGTGAGAGAGAGAGCATGAGAGAAAGTAAGAAAGCAAGCTGCCAGGTCCGGGACTTGAACCACGGTCTGTCACGCAGGAGTCCAGCACCCTCAACCACCATGCCACCTGCCAACCCAGATCCAATTTTTACCCTTGTAATCCTATTACAACATATGGACTTGGAGACAAATTCAAACTACAGCAACAGTTACGTTCTTGCTTTAGAATTTGAATATAGCTGGCCTGCCCTGTAACCCACTGGTTAGTGGAGCTGGATACCATATGCTGACCTCCCAATTTGAATCATAGACCTGATTGCTTGAAAAACATGCAGGTTGTAGGTGCAGTGACAGTGAGTACCACAAATCCTTAAAGGATGGAGAGATGGAGAAGGGATTTTGGTATAATCATCCCCCCAGTGGGGTGTGCTTTTCCCTCTCCCTCTCTGGCAAGCACACATACCCTCTGGGAAATTAAAAAAAAAATTAATACAGTACTTACTGATTTCTCTTACTACAGGTGCTTTAAAGACTTATGCCTTATTCATTTTTGGCATCATTGCAGTACCTAGCACAATACATTTTATTGGATATTAATAAGTATCAAAGGGTTCTTTTAAAGGACAGATAGTAGAAAGTTAAGGCAAATGAACTTCATTTCTATCCATGGTGCTTGATGAAAAAATACCTTAAGAGTCTTTCACAGGTATTTGCTTTAATTAACTCCTCATTTCCACTTATATTTGCACTGGACCTTTTTTTTAATGGATGTGGTATAGAAGAAATATTGACAGCAAGTGTATTAAATATCAACATATATGATGGGCAGCAAATCTTTAAGAAATGATTTCCATATAAAAGTCACATAAAATACACCATTAAAGAACACTACTAAAACATATATTCCAGGAAATTTGAATTAATAATAATGGTAACTCTACATTTCTCCCTTTCTCTCTCTTTTGCTTTTTTAATCTGCTGTAGGGCATGTGTGCACACCAGAGACAGAGAGTGGGAAAGAGAGAAAGAACCCTCCAGGGGAAATGATCATGTCACAGTCCCTTCTTCATTCCCTTCCTGAGGTTTTGGGCACACATGCACATGTGCCTGACATATTTTTCAAGCCCCCAGGTCCAGGCCTCAGTCATGTGGATCCAGCTGCCCCAACTACCACTCTACTACCTGGCCACTATGTTTCTCTTTTCCAGAGAATGAAATTAATCAAATCCAGGCCCTTTGTTTTCATAATTTTATAAATTTTATCTAGTATTTTCCTAGAAATTTCATTTGGTTTGAAACATTTCTCAAACAGAGCATGCCTAGGCGTGTTTTCTCATCTACAGAGCAAAAGGGGAAAACTAAATTGTATTTAAGATTCCTTCTATATGTAATTTTTATCTGCAGATAGAAAAACTAAAATGCACAAATGGAGTAATTCAGCAAGGGCCACTCAAGTCATTGAGCAGCAAAACGTTCTAAAATCCATTATCAATGACCCCTTAGCACAGATTGTGTATGAACTTCATCCACTTCAGGGACATAATTGTACTTCAATTTTTTTTTTTTTTTTTTAGCAAAATACAGTTCAAAGTTATTCACTTCAGGTTAATATGAATGGAAATTGATGATGATAGCAGTTTTCATTGTATGTGGAAGATGTGATTAATGAGAGCTTTATAATAAGAAACTTGTGTTTAAAAAAATAAATCATCTAGAGGTTTTTTTTTTTTTGGCACAACACGAGCTATATATATTTAGTGATAATAATGGTGCTAGGTGAGGATCAAGTTTAAAGTGTGGGATTTTTAAAAAAAAAATTTATTTTGAATTTGATCAGAGAGAGACAGCGAGAGAGAGAGAGAGAGAGACAGAGAGAGGAAAGTGAGAAAGCAAGCCTCCCGGTCCAGGAGTCGAACTGCAGTCAGCCATGTGGGAATGTAGCGCCTCAACCACCACGCCACCTGCCAGCCCCGATGACTTTTTTTAAAAAGAGAATTATTTATTTAATTTAATTAATTAATTTATTTATAATTTGACCAGACAGAGACAGAGAGGAAAAAAAAAAGTGAGAAAGTAAGACAGCAGGACTGGGACTCAAAAACCATGGTCAGCCATGTGGGAGTCTTAACCACCATGCTGCCTGCTGACCCACTGCCCCAATGCCTTTTAGAACTATTACCCACATAGGTTTTCCAGTTTCTCTTATTATAAGCAAAACATTGTTTTCACTTTGTATTTGAATATTTTAAATACACAAAAGCATCCTAATTTTTTTTTCCAGTTGGGAATATTTCAAGACTTTTATAATTTGTTATATGTCTAATGTTTAAGCAAGATTATACCAAAATCATAATTAAGTGAGTAATGGTTTAGGTTTTTATTTTTTTGCACAGGTTTTCGCTATTGGGCGTGTGCACTTGCCAGAAAGACAGAGACAGGCAGAAGAGACATAAAGCGAGAAATCACCCCCCAGCAGGGATGACCACCCCACAATCCCTTCTCCATTCTCCTCTTGGGATCATGGGCACTCATGCACATGCGCCCAGTGTGAGTTTAAGTCACTGGGTCCAGGACTTGAACTGTGGTTGACTACATGGGAGTCCAATGACATAGCCATTATGCCAAC